ATCTGTAGCAATCCAATATAATTTGGCATCACCTTTTTATTTAAATAAAGTGATTCTCTCTCTATTGATTCTGATTGTTTTGAAAATATCTTCTAATGCCTAGATTTTGTATGTCAGATTTTGATCAGTTTACATGTTACAATAACGTCATAACATAATTTCTCACTCGTTATCTTAATTATAGGCCTCTTGTTCTGACGTTAGTTGGCCTCTAGGATCTGCTCACCTCACATCATTAGGCTGTTGCCTTTTTTTTTTCGAAATTGTGGAGCGTGTGATAAAATTCACACTCCGGAACCGCTCATTTCACCCTACTGACGTTAAAGAAAAGCCCAAATTCGATGAACGATTAATGACCTTAATTAGAAGATATTTTCCATTTTATTAAACGCAGTGAATAAAAAAAAAGTGCATTACAAATTTCCTTATTATTTCAAGGTTTCAAAGCATAAGGGAATGAGCAGATAAGATCATACGTTAACCAAAGAAAAACTAAGGTGTGTGCTTTAGACCACACGGTAGAAGTGAGAACATCAACAAAGCGAGATTAATAATATGAAATATAAATTATAAATAAAAGCTCTTCACAGAGAGGATCAAATCCTGAACACTTCCCTCGCTTACAGTATGCAGGTCCGATTATTAGTTTCTGGGATAATTTAATCCATTTCTTCAACAAAACTCGTTATCATTTAGTTTTCGGCACTAGTTTTACCTTTTCGCCTATTTAACACGGCGTCGTGGTAACATACACTTTTAAATCATACGTTATTATAAACCAATTTTGATATTTATTTATTTTTTCTTGACTTTCAAAGTCATATGTCATATTGCTTAGAACGCCTTGTAATAATTTATTTCATAATATAATACTAACATTTTTTCTATTTACATTTACTAACTTTGTATTTTTTTTTTTTGTTTAGGTAAGTCAACCAACCATCGAAGATTACTTTGAATATCCTTATCTTATCACAAGAATACAGGTAGCTTTAATTTATTATAATATACTGGTACTGTTATTGGTGGAACTAGTTCGGCAAATTGTGATCTCTTGCAAAGTTCCGGAGAATCCTTGTAAAATTTTAATTACATTTTTAATATCCTCATGATGTCTTTTTAGTTTGAAATTGGCAATCCTCGCATTTAAAATGGAAAAAAATATTTTAATGATACATCGTGATTAATATATAGATGTTTTACCTTAAATATCTTGTTAAGTTTATAAAAACAAATTTTACACTTGTAATAAAAAAACAAAACAAGGAATTGCAAAAAGTAATTTTTTTAATTTCTTGTATTTTTTTTTTTCTGGCCTTAAAACTTGTCAAAGCAAGTCCTATTTTACAAGATATTGAAACTATTCAAGTAAATAATTGTACATTTTTTATAAGATTTCAATACTTAATTATTTATTGAATATTAAGAGAATGTGCCATACCCAAGGGCCATAAGGCTTAGAGTTAAAAGTATCCACTCATGCACTCATACAATATATAATATATTGGTACTTTAATGTATTGGAATACACAAGGTTTTATAAGTAGATAGATCCTTGAGATATTATGTGTTTTAGTTTAAGACTCCGTCTTTTCCATTAGTTATTTTCGTAAATAATTTTTTTTTTTTTTTAGTAAATAGCTTTCTAAATAGCTGTGCAAGAAGGAAGGTTGCCTAGTGCCGTGCTGCCAATCTGCCCAGAATAGTGCATAGTTCCTTGTTGTTCCATTTCCTTCCTAAAGCCTTTTAAATTGGCGCCTAAGCCGTCCGGATTGTTCTGTCGGGATCCTTCTTTCTTGTTGTATTGATAGCTTTCCCGTCTGACCTGAAAACCTTGCTGTTTTTAACTATCATAGATCAGCCAATCGTACTATATCGACAGCCACACTGTAAAAGTCTGTAATGACAATTTCTATGGATCCCACAAAATGAAATTTACGATGTTTCATTTGTTCTCTAAGGTCTTTTGTGAAAATCTGTAATTTGAAAAGCAGCAAATTGTGATGTAAAAACTGTAAATTATAGCGAAGATTATATAGATTGTGTCGTTACCGAAAAAACTTCATTAAATGTTCAATGAAAGGTGTTTATGTAAATAAACAGTGTTACGCATTGACTACAGCATCAATTTGCTTTATTAATAGGCTAGAAAAAATTGTTCTCATACCTTTTTTTATTTTCTAAAATTTCTAATAAATGGCAGGTACGTGTGCAAATGCCCGGTTCTCCTGCCCTTGGGCCTTCACTGCTTATTAAGGAACTACACGAAACAAAGAAGTGAGTGGTAAGTGGGAATATAATATTACACGGCCTTGAAAACTATCGAAAACTCCTGGACACTGCAAAATGAGCTTGACTGGGAAAAGCTACAATTCCGCCGAATGCCAGATAGTGAGAGAGACAGAGAATTTATTTTATTAATTGGATAATTTAACACGATACGAAAAAAGAATTCTAGTTTCATCTTTTCAAATTAACGAATCTTCGAAATCGCAAGAAGCTCAGAGAAGAAGCGATCTGCTTATCAGCAGGTTACCTATAACTTGCCAAGCATTCCTGAATCAAACCATGACTTTGAGTATGAAGTTAATATGTCCATATGAAGTTAAGTACGTTAAAAAGGAATCTTTCATAGACTACTCCAAAATGGGACGCATGCACTCCGTTCTAGCCGCATCTTCAGTGTGAGTCAAAAACGTTAATAATCCGTGTGATCAAATACTCGCAAATTCTTTACAAAATAACATTTGAAATATCGTTTCTACCTTTTGGAAAGTGGCTTTGTTCCTGTCTCACTTTGGTCATTATTCATAAACTTATGGGTGTCACTACTGTAAATTTGATTGCTATTACCTTGGATTTTCTCTGCTTTTCAAAGTAACTAAAGATCTATAAGTTAGACGTAATGGCTCTAAAAGGTTATTTGGCTGAAATTCGATCAAAAAAGTTACATAGAGCTTTAGTAGTATTAGTCATTGTCCTGGGCTTGGAAAAAAAAAATGAACCGAAATATAATGCTCATTGAACAAAAATCACGCAGTTTTTTTCATCTCCTGAATATTTTTAGTTTTTGTTATTACAGGCTTTTGCAGTGTGGCTAACGATATATTTAAATTATCATATAATTATCTTCATCAAAAATATATTACCAATGTATTAGATCACATTGGTAATAGATCTGAAATCCAAAATATCGAGATCCAACGGGTCTCTCCAATTCTAAATTAATTTTAAAATACGATGCAGTTTACTAAACTCATCATACTGGCTCTGTTCACCAAAAAAAGTGTGTTCTATTATTTCCAATAATAATTTTGTCAATCAACAAACTCGGGATTTTCTATTTTACCGCATATTTTTAAAATTCACCATCAACTAAGTGGAACCAGCTCATCGTACATGCTACAAGTAAGTAATCGATGCGTATCGATTGATTGGATGCTCTAACATGAAGATTATGGATGTAACCATGCTAACCGAGCTTACACCGTACTATAATATATGTTATGGATTTTTATCGTTTCCAGAATTTTCAGCTCTCCGGATTTTCTTTTAACCACAGTTTGTGCCATTATGTTTTAATTTCTTTTTAATATTTTGCTCTATGAAAAAATAAATCACAAATAAAAAAGTCTAGTAAATAAAAATTTAACAATTGTAATTGTGCATTGAATACATAATCTTTTACCGTGGGTTTAACTGGTGCTGACTTAAACGGTTAAAGAGAAAAGCCCTAACCGCACCCTCTTGACCCACTAGATGATCTCACCACTCCTGCAGCCATCCTCTTGAAGAAGTTGGCTGGGCTATAGGACAACTTTGTAAAGGTTTTCATTATTTCACGCTTGTTCGTTAAATGAAACAAATCTTTTTTTTTAAACAATAGTGAAATTTTCTAACATCATGTATTTCTTCAAATTATTTGTCGAAAATTTTATTAAAACATTATTGAAAATTTTTATTTAATTAAAATTAAACTGAAAATTGAGAGGAGATTTGGTTTGGAAGAGAGAGAGGGTTTAAGATGATAATAATAAAATGCTAATGAACCGGGAGATTTGATTCTGCACTAGTACCACGATACCACGCTATAAATTTTTTTTTTTTTATTTATTTGTTTTTAATTATTTTTTGGGTCCTCCCTTTCCTCGCCGTTAGGGCTATACGGGGTTTTCCCGGGCCAGAGGGTGTGGGCGGGGATTTAAAAGGCCACGCTATCAACGTACTGCCATCCACCCATCGCCGTCCAAAGTCGACTCCATAAGACCAGCTTCCCAGCTTAACTCAATCCTCCCTTCTTTTTTTTATCACCCCATGCTTCGCCATTATGGTATACGGGTGGGAGAAAGTGCTTCTAGAAGTGCAACCAAACCTATTCTAACCATAGTCGAAAGGTCAAGATTCATTTTTGTGATCTGTGAAGAAATAAATATCAACCCGCTCAGGCCTGTTGGAACTCGATAATGCTAAAGTTTACGGTTTAAAACGATCGACCATCACGACATCTACGCAAACCTCTCACATACTCTTTGGTCTACCTCTTCGATATTTACTAATAATCACAGTGCTATTGCCCTTTGGGGATACGATCGCTACTAAAGCACATAATTTTACCTATCGAATTTATTCGCCGCAAAGCTATCAACTAAATTATACTTATCAAGCACTGCTATTCAGGCAATCCGTCGTTGTGTAGCCTTCTAAATCCTCCGTTTTGCTTGTCCTTCTTCGAGACTAATATTCTGCACTGCATTTTATTTTCAGAAACCTTAGATGTTCCTCATCCATTATATATTAGTGGTTATAACTCGTAGGTGTAAGATAGTGCATCGCAATAAATATTTGCTTATGAAAAAAAAACATAATAAGAAGCAAATTTATCCATGTTATTTTGTTTATAAGATATATATTAGCAAACATTCCTCATTGAAATTATAACTTGTAACAGGATATACTATATAAGACTCAACCTGCCCGACGAGCCGTTAAAGCACGCCTTTATGGTCCGGGTAGTCCTCATTGTTGCTCCAGGATCCGCCGTTCTGCTGCCCGGAGTACAAACTCAGGCTGGAGCTGGAAAAGGGTCACACGAGGGGACACAAATACAAAAGGCATGTACAATTTGCTCGGCACAATGGCCTGCTCGTTTAATGCTCAGCCTCTGGAATGGCGACTACTTTGTCCATAATGAGTCTTCCTCGAGAGCTAATTTAAGCTGAAGCACCTCGACCTTTTGCTAACTTCGTATTGTGCTCCGGTCTAATGACTGTCTACTTTTCATTTTGTTTCTTACTAAACTTGCAAGAGATGGAAGACATTTATAACAGTTTTCTTGTTAAGAAGTCGATATTGGCGAGGGATTTTGATGTTGCTCTTTTTAACCCCAACTTTCTGCAAAAAATGATTTCTCAGAATCTGAGTCAACGCGGAAGATATTTTAAATCTACATAAGATAAAAAAGATTCGCCATAAATATTGTTTTTTCTTTCTGAAAATGACTCAATTTGTTGCACAAATCTAAATAATTAAGGATTTTCTTCTTAGCTTAGCTAGTCTTTTTTATTTTCATCGATCCATATTTCGTAACCTAGACGAAGTGTGTGAGTAAGAGTTTTGTTATGATTATCGTACCGTCAAAGATAAAATTTTATTAAGATGGAGCTGATCAGGTATAACTCAGTGAGTGAGGCACTGAAATCCTATGTGTAAGGTCCCTGGTTCGTGTACGACATGGCAGGTAATTATTTATTCCGTTACGTCAATCGTGGATTGACCCTGGTGTCAGCAGATCCTGCTGGGGCACACCCAGCCTCTCCTTTATTAAAGAATTCATTAAGAGAGATAAACCTGACGACTGATCGTGGTCTTCTTGCATAAACGCTGACCAAGATACAGTACTTCCGTACAAAGTACTGTAGCCAAGATTCCTCTGGCTTTTAGTGGTCTGGTTGTTTTATTAAAAACGGTCATTTCATTTGTTTTTATTCATTGTACACCTATTGCTCATGTCCCTAGTTTTGACAAAATGTAATATTAATAATAAAACATTTTTTTTTGTCCTGGATTCTTTTAGAAAAAACCCTCAAATAATTGCTAATTATTCATTCTTTGCCGACATTTCGACCCACGGATTAGATGTTCATGAGGGCTAAAACGAGTTTAAAAAAATAAATAACGGAAATATATAAAATCAAACATTGAATATTGTAGTGGAAATAACAGTAAAAAAAATCCTTTTTCTTAATTTTTTTTTATTGTTATATAAATAATACAATCTGCCACTTTGAAGGGTTATAAGTATTAAGGCTACTCGTGTTCATTCATACCATATGCACATATAATAGAGAAATAAATATTGATAATTAAAACAAAAGTAATACAAATAAATAAGTAAAAAATATATATAATACATAAGTGAAATAATAAATAAATAAATATGTAAAATTAAATTAAATCTTGACACATTCATTCCTAGATATAACTATAAACAATGTAAAAGGAATAATTCATTGCGAACAAAAAAAAAAGTAATAAAAAGATAAAATATGTCATCATAGAATGATAAATTATTTCTTAAAATAATACAAAATTTAATGATAAACAAAACTAAACAAATAAGTATTTTTTATCACACAGCTTTTAAATTTATTTATTATCAAACTCATTGAAGTTTGCTGGTAGGTTTGAATATTATCCTGTAATTAATTATGTGAAGTGACGGAGACGGTTAATTATAGAGTTGGGACTAGTAGAGTATTGCTGCAATTTGCTAAGAATAAAATAGAGACAACGACATGCTTATTTTGAAAAACATACTAGCCCCTATCCCAATTATTGGTATTTCGCCAAGGCAAAACAATTAGAACTAAATGGAATAGTCAGATACAATTAGCAGGTTCTAAATTAAAAAAAAAACCAACAGCAACAGAATCAAATAAAAATAAAATAATTTCTAGTCTTCTTCTTGGACATAGAAACTAAAATAACGGATTGAATCACCCTATTCCTGAAAACTTATAATGTCCCCGCGACTTGCTAAAAATAGACGAATGAATTGACTATTTCCACCCCCTTATCCCGACCGGCCGAATAAGGTCATAGGTCGCTATACTTGCATGGCTTCCGATGTCATAGCAGCCTTCTGTGTCTTAACAGGTCATTCCTAACTCTTCAAAAGAGGATTGATAAGTTTTCCTAACTGTCTCATTTACAAGATATCTGTGGATCTTAAAAGGAAAACGTTATCTATCATCGTCACTATTTTCGGACTCTTATCTCGTTGGTTTTATGCGGAAACAATTGATGGAATAATTGAGATGATAGAAATCTCCTAGCAAAGTGTAGCGATCGTATTGATCCTTGACCTTACGTCACGTCACGTCACGGTACTTTAAGTGTCAATATTGCCCTGTTGCTAGTTGGCGTTGTGATGTTTAACAGCCTAAACCTTCGGATTTAGTTCGGACTTTAGTTTAAGTTAAGGTTTTCTTGGGTTATTTAAGTAAATACTTAGTTTTTTAGACTCCGGAATCATACACAGGTATACATGGTTGGCTTATGAGTTTTAGACCTTATACCGATCTAATGCGACTGTGCCTCTGTTTATCACCAGGAAACATATTGGGTGCACCAATTCGATAATTATTACAGCAATAGCTGACATATGCAAGTTACGTTTCATACATAACATTAAAAATAAAATCGCTATTTATCCTACTACAAGGAGGACCAGCTCCGAAGTAGGAAGCTGTGCAGCCAGGTTATTGCTGATTGCCATAGCAAGCATTAGTCATGATATATTTGTCGCTTAATGTCCTTATTTATTCCAACCAGTGCAGGAAGGACATATACACATAAAGATTTCCGCGAGATTTATTCTTTGTGGCCAACACGAAGTAAATTACACACATCCAGGCTGAATTCGAACCTAGGCCAATTCTCAGCCACTAAGGTCTGAGTTATGTTATGAGCATAAATTACTTCTTGCAATTGTATTAATATTAACTGCAAACTATTAAGACCCTAATTACGTTTTTTAGCATATATAAATTGTACAAATTTTCTTTTGGATAGATTTTATATATTATTTTTCAGTACCAATTCCATTGTTTGAGTTTTCAGTATTTATTTTTATGCTTCCTCGGTTTAATTTTTCGATACTTTATTAATTTTTTTTCTGTTTTACGTTTTTAATTTCAATCAGAAGTTTAAATTAATTTTTAGGTGATGTGATCGTTGTTCTATTTTCTTTCTGTTTATAACTACAAAGCCATTTTACCATAACAGTATTTATTTATTTTATAATTAAAAAAAAATTAGTTGTTTCGTTCTTTCCTAGGCCAGTTTTACGTTCATGCTAGGCAAGAGAAAGACTAGAAATATAATATCTTACTAAAATAAATATAATGAGCAGATATATAGTAATTGTTATATTTATATATGTAAATTATGAAATTTAAATGTTTATATATATATATATATATATATATATATATATATATATATATACTTTTTTGCTCAATTGAAATGGGATTAGTGCTGGTTGAGCGTTATTTTTCAGAATTATAAAATAAATAAAAACTATATTAACCAATATGCCTTTTACTTGTGAACTATACGTTTTGTTCCTCTCGGATCTAAAGCGGTTTCAGTTAGAATCTGGCCTGCAACAGTTGACTTTTATACCTCAGACTTAAACTAATACCAGGATATATTTGTAAGCAGTTGGACAAAACGCATTTTTGGCCTTATGCATAATGCATAAGCAGTATATAAAAAATAAAATAAGTGTTTAGCGGTGGTTAAATATTAAATTGGTTTTAAAAGCATTCTAGATGGTTATAAGTATTTTCCAAAATTATCTATGCTTGAGTAAGCGCACCAGTGATGGACACCTCGAAATTCAATTGTTCTAGTAATGTACAGGGGTCGGTACCAGTAATGGACATACCTCAGAGAAAGTCTAAAATCTTTATTTAACTATAAATATAAGATATCATAAATGTTCAGCTTACTCTTAGCAAAACTATTAGTAGGAAGGTATGAAACATACAGATCTCTAGAGCACTATAGAAACAACAATGTTGGGGAATTTAAAATTTTCTTTTGGGAACGTTGCTAATACATTTGTCTATAGAGAACATTATTCGTTTGTTTGTTGTTTTTTATAGCGTAAAACCCTCAGGTCATCAACGACTACGAAGAACATTGTACTTCATCTAGAAAAAAAAACTGGAAGCTTTTAATCACATGGAAGCTTAGTATTTACATTTAAAGTACAATCTGCCTATCACTGCACTCCCTGTCCATTTTTCGATTTTTGAATAATATTACGTAGTTTTAACAAATCGAGATACAACCTAAGAATAATGATTATAATTGTGGGTTAATGGTTGACTGTCGTGAATAATGAAGAGAAGAATGGTTGCGGTGATCAGTCAGAAATAAGAAGGCAAAAATAAATAATAATATTTATTTTGACATATGCCGACGTTTCGACCTGAAGTTCAGGCCTTCATCAGAGCTAAGAAAAGAACCAGATAACAAGGTATGAAAAAACATAAATAATGTTGGTAAAAAAAAAAAAACTACAGTGAAATGAAGTGGGTAGAAAAATGACAATAGTAAAAATTAAGAGATAAATAATAATAACGGTTACAAAGTGTAGAAAATTATATATGTTATCAGTACATGTTGATAGACTTTACAATAGCTCAATTTTCTATCTAACTTTTCTATTTTCAAAATTTTAATTTTACTATTTAGTTTCATTTCTTATATAACTTCATATTCCTTTTTTCTGTTTTATATTTTATTCTAAGATTGCCATTTTAATACTTATGTCACCTTTTTCGATTATGTTTACTTCATCATTCTGCACTTTGTAACGGTTATTATTATTTATCTCTTAGTTCTTACTATTGTCATTTTTCTACCCACTTCATTTTACTGTAATTTTTTTTTACCTACATTGTTTATGTCTTCTCATACGTTGTTATCTGGTTCTTTCTTTAGCCCTGAACTTCAGATCGAAACGTCGGCAAATATCAAAATAAATATTATTATGTTTTCTCATACCTTGTTATCTGGTTCTTTTTTTAGCCCTGAACTTCAGATCGAAACGTCGGCAAATATCAAAATAAATATTATTATTTATTTTTTGCTTCTTATTTCTGACTGATCACTCCAACCATTCTTCTCTTCAATAATAATTATTATT